TGTAGAATTACAAATAATACTCCCTGCCGCATCCTTAAGAGTCTGGTTTCGTCTTTCAGCCACACCATTCAAGCTAGGTGACCTCAGCGGCGAATCTTGAGGAAAATTTTGAGGGGTGCCAAAAAATAAATTATATATTGAGAGAATTGTTTAAAAAAATTAATTGTTAGATGATGTGGTGGTTAGTAAAAATATTTTTTTTGAAAATAAATATAAAACTGGTGGAATCATGAGTCGAACTGGTGACCTTATGCCAAAATAAGATTGATTTTACCAATCTGCCACATGAAACTGGGGGGTGCCATAGCTCCCTCCCGCCCCCATATGAATCCGCCACTGGGTGACCCTAACATGGTGTATTGTGGGAAAATTCTACATTCCTCTAGGTATTTGGAAAAATACCCCAGACGTTGTTCATCCAAATTGTCATATATGCCATAATATTTACTACCACAATCAGATTTGACTTTCTTAATTCTTTTGTTGAGTTGATTCTCAACTCCGACCTTAAATGATTTGAACACATCCAACGATTGATACTTTTCATGTATAAGAAACATGTATGCATATATAAAATAATCGTATATGAATGATATAAAATATTGCTGACAATTCTAAGAAAGTGTAGGAAATGGTCCATAAGTGTTTGTATGTATCATTTTAAGACATATGTAACTTTATTTGCACCAAGTTTCATTGTTTTGGTCTGTTTATATTTAACATATTCAACACAAACATCATAGTTTGTGAAGTCAATGGAATCCAAAATTCCATCTCACACTAGTCGCTCAACTCTATTTTTAGAAGTGTGACCTAGGTGCCTGTGCCCTGATGCTCCTGAATTGTTATAATCAATTTTACGTTTAGTACCATGCAATTTTAAATTCAAGGTTTCACCATAGGTAGCTATTGTGTCGAGAAAATATAGATTATCATGACCCATGAGTCAACCAGTTCCAACAATATCTGAATTGAAAGACAACTTGAACACACTGTTTTCAAATGAACATAAATACCCTAATTTGTCCAATTAAGAAACTTAAATTAAATTTTATCTAAATGAGAAAACCACAAAAGTGTCTTTCAAATCCAAATAAAATTCGGTACACATCAATAATCTAAAATTCCCTATAACTTTCACCTCCATCGACTTGCCATCTCCCACATAGATGTATCTTTCAATATCATTTGGATTCGGTAGTTCAGGTAACCCTTTATTGAAACACTAATGTTAATAGTTGCTCAAGATTTTAACCACCAAGTGTTTCTAGGCACTGACGATAAATTAACCTCAGAACAAACCAAAGCATGGATCATGCAATTGTAGCGATCCCATTTCTCACAATCTTTCCTCTATTTAGAGGTACTAGATTCTGTAGGAGAATATGGTTACTCCACCCTTAATTAAGGTCAAGATCAATGCAGGCAAGAACAATTTCCATATTCTCATTCCATCCCTTGAAATTTGTCTCATTAAGGGCCGAAACTGAATTCATATTAGCAGGTATTGTAGCAATTATAACTGTAAATAGATTAAAAGAAACACATGTATTGTAGCAATTATAACTGTAAATAGATTAAAAGAAACACTATAATTATACTCACAAAATAAACTGAATCTTTAATATGTTCAACAAATGGCATAACCCATGTCAAGATACATAATGCATCATAAATATCAAGTCTTTGAACAATAATATTGATTGTCAGTGGTACTCTTTTATTAATAATCAAACATTGATAATAAAATATGTCAAATAATAAATCTCTCTTTAGATTGATTTATCATTCACATATGAAATCTTATAATTATCACATGTTTACCATCACAGGTGTGTATAAAATTTGGCCAAACATTAATTATCCTTTGGGTCAATTGATAATCGCATAAATAAATACATATACAAAAGAATAATATTTAACACTTTTTTATAAGAATTCTCTCCAAAAAAATGTCCCTTTGGTGACATTATATTTTAAGACTCATTTAAAATATTAAACTATTGTATAAAATACAAAGAACATCCAAAATTTGAACAAAATTATTTCAAAATTAATAGATATAAAAACTGAGACACAACCATACAAACCAACAAGACCAACTCGTGTCTCTTTTGATATGCAGAATACATAAAAAACACTACAATTCTAAATTTTATAAAAGTCCAAAAATTTATTTAAAAAGGAGAGAAAAACAAAACAAAGTTTGTTACCTTATCATTTTTTTCATATGCTTTGAAATTTTCCGAGTGAGATGCATTCTGTTACTCTACTCTCTCACTCATCCCACAAAGCAACTTCAATTTTTGAAAGAAGAAAACCTAATGAGAAACCTCACTCTTTTTGTAAAAAGTGCCTAAAGGCTTCATTGATCATTTCAACTAAAAATTCAGTAAAAACGAAAAATATTTCTTACACTAAACGATCTCGTTATTTTTATGTATCCATATCTTTAAAGAAAATGCAATTAGACGCAATTTTAAAATTTTAAACAAAGTTTTCGAAGAAATGTAATTTTTACTTAAAAATTAAATTAATTTATTCAAATTTTTCAAATATCAGGAAAAAAATACAACTTTAAAAGTCTTTATAAATAAGAATAACTCTTATGTCAGGAAAAATAATGTGGAATTTCAAAAAGAATTTCAAGTAGACGCTATCAAATAAGACAAAATAAATGAAATTACTTATATAAAAAATTAAATTTTTACACAAATTAAAAGATTAAAATAAATTTTAATTTTATAATTGTTATTTAAATTAAAAAAAAAAATCAAATTGAATCAAATATGAGTTTCTGATACCACATGTTAAATCTAATTGATAATTTAAAAATTTCTATCCATATAGATATCAAGAAGAAAATTCTAAACTAATCCATAAGAGTCAAATATGCCATTGACTTACATCTCTTAAATTCATACCAGAATTGAATTAGAGAAAGAAAACGAAAGTGTAATTCAATTTGTCATTGAAATCGTTGAAGGTTGCGAGCATGTGATCTTTCGATTTGTAGGTTCCTTTAGGATTTCTTAAATTTTTTTGATGGAGATAAAGAGAACCGTGTTTTGTCAATCACTCTACAAATGATAACCATAATCCATATAAATAATCCTATGATTATTTCTTAGTTTTCATTAATCTAATATGTCCCCTCATCAAATTAGATATTGACTTATTATAATATCTACACACTGACTTTACCTTTCATGACATTTACGCTTTTAACCATAAACTTTCTTAATATTAGTTAGACCCCTTTAATCTTGACTAATTAAATAATGGCTCTAACACCTTTATTATTATATTTGTGACCCAAAATTTTAATAGTATTGATCATTTAAATTACCTATTAAACACATTACTCAATTAAATAACATATTTAAATTATCTATTACACAATCTAATGCTTAATTTCTATAAATATATAGAGAAATAAAAAATGTATAGAAAAATAAAAAATTTATTAAATGTGTTTGATTGTGAAGTCTTAGAGCAATTGAATGTTGATAGTAAAAACTTGGATGTGAGTTGAAAGAGTTTGCAAATTTGTGATTTGAGAGAATTTGTATGTCGAGAAAGTAAACATGAAATGAGGAAAGAGAAAAGAGCTTAACATGTATTTGATAAAAAATTGATCAGAAAATATGTTTTCGTGTAAAATTTCTGCATTATTTTTTGACATAACCTTAAGAAAAGAATAAAAGCAAAATGAATAAAAGCAAAATGAATTGTGATGAGTGAGGGTCATTTAAAATGCATTTCTAAATTTTAAAAGTAATTTTGATTTTTCTCAATAGGGTGAGGAAATAATGCTTAGGATTTGGGAAAAACAACTCCATTGGCCTTTTGAAAAATGCATGGTCACTTGAATTAATAGTAGCCCTATTTATTATACTCGGACCACTTAGATTTGACTATGAATTTTACTATTGGATAAATAAAAAATTAAATATATCTTTTGAAATACTAGTACCACTTCAATTAAATATATATATATATATATATATATATATATATATATGGATCTCTTGGAATACTACCTGTTGTGGTTCCACCCATGGACCATGCATGGTATTTTAGAATATTTCCTGTCAAGCATACATTAGAATCTTTATAATAAGCCAATGAATGATTTCTAAAGGTAAAACTTACATAATAACATTCCGTTTTTTAATCAGTGTTACTTTATCAAACAAATTGTATCTTTTAAATGACTGTTATTTTTTTTCTAAATATAAATTAATTATTTTTTCAATTGTGCCATTTAATTAATAATATTTACATTATTTCTAAATTATTATAATTTTTTAATATAAACGAAGTGATAATAATATAATAATTGGTTTGAATCATAATAAGTAGATCCAAACTAACAATATGGACTTGTATCGGTTGGTACTGATAATTATAAATTTAAAAAACTGTAAAATTAATACTCACAAGAACTTCAACAAAGCGAAGAACACAAAAGGGATATACTCAGAACCCAAAAGATCCTTTTCACCTTTCCCCAATGCTTTCCAATTACTACTACATGTCACCTCAACACTCCCTTCACAGTACACGTACAAAGAACGAAATAACGCAAACTAACACCAATAGCCAGTCATTTCATATCCTCTCTTGGGTACCTCATTGTTTGTATGAGAAAACAATTAAATGAACGATCACAATTCAAAAACAAAACCCAACTGGACCCCACAACCCCAATCACCATGCTAAACTCAGTTCTGAACTGTGCTCACACGTAGCAATAGCAACATCACTTCTCAGTTTTCATTCTCCTTCCACCCACATAACGCCATTCTTCACCGTACATTACATAATAATCAAACAATTTTTTCTCATCATTATTAAATCGTTTTTATTCATTCAAGAAATTATTGCGAATCGTTTTTTTACTCTCTATGTCATCACACTTCTCTTGCCTCCTTCTACTCAATTTTTTAGATCTCTTCTTCTTCGTTGCAATATAAACCCTAAGCTGATAGAAGAAGATGGTTTATACAATCTCAGGAATTCGATTTCCCGTTCTTCCTTCTCTGCACAAATCCACCTTACGCTGCGATCGCAGAACTTCATCATCTCACTCTTTTTTTCTCAACAAGAACTCCTCATTCTCTCGTAATGAACCTGAACCTATTTCGTCTTAATTCTGTTACGGTTTTCGAGTTCGACTTGCTTGCTATTTTTTGCATACTTGCTTGATTAATGCTTTTTTTGTTTTTTGATTATTGAAATGACATGCATCGGTGGGAACTTGTTTGAATTCGTTTTGATTTTTGTTTATTAGCGAATGGTGACTTAAGCGAAGCTGAATCGTGGAATTCTGTGGATACTGTTCAATTTCGTTGGTAGAAACTGGTTTTGATTCTGATTTAGTATGCATTGGTAACTTAAACGAATTTGAGGCATGAGATTCTGTTAGTTCTGTTGAATTGACTAGGTAGGACTGGTATTGACTCCATTTTAGTAGCGGTTGGTAACTTAAACGAATCTGAAGCACGAGTTTCTGTTAGTACTGTTGAATTGACTTGGTAGGACTGGTTTTGACTCCATTTTAGTAGCGGTTGGTAACTTGAGCGGAACGGAGGCATGAGATTCTCGTGATTTGTTGGATTTCAGGATCTTTTGAGCTTAACGAATTTGGCTTAGTTCTATTTTTGTGCATTTGGATGCACAGTGTTATTAGCTGTTATACTACAACTGTTCTCTTGGATTCACGACAAAAACTGATATTTTTATTTGCAATGCATGGAAAGTGTTCTGATGATGTTAGATGTTTCTTTTATTACAGTATGTGCCTTTCTGCTTTCTGCTTGGAGACTTGTATTAACCATGAATAAGTAGACAAAACATTTTTAAATATTAGTTTGAAGGTTTTGTGAACTACTGTTGAATCACGGAATTCCGTGGATATTGTTTTATTTCGTAGGTAGAACTGGTTTTGATTCTGTTTTAGTATGCATTGGCAACTTAAATGAATCTGAAACATGAGTTTCTGTTAGTCCTGTTGAATTGACTAGGTAGGACTGATTTGGACTCCATTTTAGTAGCGGTTGGTAACTTAAACGAATCTGAAGCACGCATTTCTGTTAGTACTGTTGAATTGACTAGATAGGAGGACTGGTTTTGACTCCATTTTAGTAGCGGTTGGTAACTTGTGCGGAACTGAGGCATGAGATTCTCGTGATTTATTGGATTTCAGGATCTTTTGAGCTTAACGAATTTGGCTTAGTTCTGTTTTTGTGTATTCGGATGCATCTGTTGTGAACTGGGAGACTTCATGTATATTGATTTTTAGTACAACTCATGAATCGAACATTTGAAATTATGCACCAATAGTTCATTGACCGCAAAAAAGGAATGCACAGTGTTTTAGCTATTATGCTACTAGTGTTCTCTTGGATTCACCGACAAAAACTGATTATTTTTTTGCAATGCATGGAAAGTATTCCGATGATGTTAGATGTTTCTTTTAGTACAATATATGCCTTTTCTGCTTTCTGCTCGGAAACTTGTGTTAACTATGACTAAGTTGACAGAATGTTTTTAAATATTAGTTGGAAGTTTTTGTGAAGAGTTTCTAGTTGATTGGTATTACCTCAATGTTTTGTTGTTTATTGAGAATGTTATTAAATGATTGATTCTTAACTATGCAGTTTGATGTTGAAAAGGAAATATTAGTATGATCATTAGCTGTCAATATTTAATGTGATCAATGATCAGTTTAAATTACTTATACACCAATGCAGTAATGCTGAAAATAGAATAGGCAAAGATTTTGGTATATAAACTTTAGTACTACTGAACATAAAGTAATAATCTAGTTTGCATGTGGCACTAACAATTTCTGGCTTCTTTCAGGGACCTCACTTTACGCAAAGTTTTCCCGCGATTCTGAAACCAAATCTTCCACAATTGCTGAATCTGATAAAGTACTTATTCCTGAAGATCAAGATAACTCTGTATCCTTGACAGATCAACTTGAAAATCCTGATATAACCTCAGAGGATGCGCAGGTGCTTTCTCCTTCTCCATGTGGAATATGTTTATATAAATAATTTCGCATGCTGCCTGTCACATGCCTTTCCCTGCCTAGGGACTGTGGCATTCATTTGGAGATGTGATACTGTGAGGCATTTTAAATGATGGAGTGGTGCAATATACTTGAGTTTCAACATAGCGTTTATTAGTTGAGTGCATCTATGAGCAAGACAGATTCTAGAGGATGGAGAAAAAACATGTTAAGAGTCTTTATTGCTATATATCACCCAAAAAGTAAAGTACATATGCTGGGTTTAACAAATGAAAGTGTGACAGCTGTTTTTCCTGGTCATCACTGCATATTTGTATGCTTACTATTGATATTTGATTCAAAGGATCTTTAATAAGAATTCCAATGTGTGAAATCTATTAAGAATGTTGTCTCAAGTTAGACTGATACATTATCATTGACATTCCAAACTTTATCAATCTATCCAGTTTTGTTATCTCCTGAATTCTTTTTACATGGCATATGATCTGAACACATTTAGTTCTTGCTTTGATCATGAATCATACTATTACCAGTTATCGTATGCTATAGACTTTATCTAATTCAATGTGAGTTCGAACATATTTTGGGATATTTAAAGTAGTAGTAACATTACCATATGAGACAAAGTTATTGACTTTTGCAGTTTTCATAGTCCTTTGGTGCATATTGTTGGAGCTGAAATGCTCATGTTGTAAGAATGTTCATTTGTCCAAAATTTTTTGAGTTGGAATTAACTTTTATTCTCTTTGGTGTCCAACCCATGGCTACTTCAAGTAAGTTGCTATCTTAGTCATGCATGGAGACTGAGCAACCTCATTGTATTCTTAGTTTTCTTTAAATGTAGAGCTAGAGGATTCCCTGTCGTCCTCATCTCATCGTTGTACTTCATTTGAGAGATTATGTGAATTAGTTGTACTACATGATATGCCTATTGTGAATTAATTCTAACATTTGAAAGATTATGTGACTCTTCAGAATAAGTTACTACTCCATCCGACTCATATGGATGTCATATTTGGGTTGTGTACGTGATAGTTCTTAAAAAAATGATTAACTGAATTGATTTCAATGGTAAAATTAGTATCATTTACTAAAACAGCCATATTAATTGCAGTTAGTAGAGTAATAAGTGGAGCGAAATTCAATAAATCAGGTATATTAGTGGAAAAAGTAATAAATATTGCATTGGTATTCTAAAGCGATTATTAAACAAGTGCAAATATGACACTGGAGTACTGTTTTGATGATTGTCGATCATATCTAAATATTTTAGCCATTGTGTATAGGCAGTACACACTTGGTCTTCTTTCTTAATCCTACTTTGTATTTCCATAGGTTAGTAGCATGCCTATAGATGTATTTGAATTTTTATTTTGTTTGCAATGTATGTTTATTACTACTGATATCAGAATATGTATTTTGCAAAAATCTTAATTTTCTTTCAATGTTCTTAGCTGAATGCATATTTTGTTTTTTCAGAACTTGGAGGGTTTAACCATGAAAGATGAGAATAAATACAATCTTGATGAAGCAGCTAGCAGTTATAGAGAGGTTGGAGACGAGAAGGGTTCTGTTATATCATCATCACTTGTAGATGTTAACACCGACACTGAAACCAAGAAAACATCAATTCATTCAGACGAGAAAGTAAAAGTTGATAAACCTAAAATCATTCCTCCACCCGGTACTGGGCAGAAAATATATGAGATTGATCCACTTTTGCAAGCTCACCGTCAACATCTTGATTTCCGGTAAGCTAACCCCAATATAAGTGAAGCAAGTACTGATTTTCTGAATGAAATGACCAATGCAAAGCATTGGAAGTTCAATTAGCCGTGGAAGATTATAATTGGGCTATCTTGGACTTCTCTTGCAGAGATTATTTTAGTTCAAGAGATTATAACTAGCCATTGGAAGTTCATTTTAATATTCAGTTCAAGAGTATGACTAAAGAGATTATTTTACATGAATCACATCAGAATGTAATTGTCTATATGTTTGTATTGCTTCCTTTGTGTTGTGTAGTTTTGCCAAAAAAAACATAACGGCAATGTTTCATTAAATCATATTTTCAAAGAACTGTTTTCATTCATTGCATGAGCTATGTAATTTTGTTGGTCCACCATTATTGTTGTGAGTTATGTAATGGTGCTCACTAGAGTAGCATTTGAAGGGCTTAAATTAATTAATTGGTCATGGGAACCTGGAACAACTCATAATAACCTGACAAATAAAAAGGCAAGATTTTTGGGCTTCCAGCCCTATTTGCCTACCCAAAACACAGGGCCAAATTGCATGTCTATCGTAATCCCTTACCAATGCTATCATGATAATTTAATATGATGTATACCTCACCAATCCAAAATCCAGAAAACAAACTAATTATTCTATTTTCTGCTCCACAATTATTTGATTAACATTTTAGTTAGCATGTTAATTTTGTGCTGTCCCTACTAATTTTGTGCTTTTAGTTCTCAACACTGAAACAAAAGCTTAATTTTCACTGAAATATATTTAATTCTCAAATCACACAGTTATGCACAATACAAAAGAATTCGGGAGGAAATTGACAAATATGAAGGTGGTCTTGATGCATTTTCGCGTGGGTACGAAAAGTTAGGCTTCACACGCAGGTAATATGGTACATTTATTTTGGTCAATCAATCTCCCCCTACTCCAGTGTAACATTTTGTGTATCATAAGTTACTTATGACTTCATCATAAGATGATTTTTGCCAAGTCTATTAAACGTATCCGTTGGATGAGAAAAAGTGAGACAGACATATGGTGAAACTGGGTGTTTCAAACACCACATAGGTTTCATTATATAGACTAAGCAACAAATCAATATGCAATGTACACATTAATTACAATAGAACATGCTAGAGCATAAGAGAATATGCTATTTCTATATTTACAGAATATACTATTTAATTTAAATAGCAACACTCCCCCTCAAGTTGGAGCGTATGAATCAATTGCGCCAAACATGCTTCATATATAATGTTGAAAAATATTTTATTTCTCTATTTTATTGTTTCCGTTTATTCTCTTTTGTTTTCCTTTATTCTCCATTAAGGAGAGAATTAATTGTAATTTATGGTATTCTCACTATATAAACCAGCCTGAGGCCGAGGAATACAATACAACAGCTTTTTACCATTCTCTTAAATATATAATTTATTCTTAGGGCCTAACAAGTATTTTGTAAAAACATTCGGCAACTGATCATTTGAATTGACAAAGCCCATGACATTGTCGCATAATTCAATCTTCTCTTTGACAAAATGACAATCCATCTCAATATGTTTGGACCTCATGAAAAATTGGATTTGAGGCAATATGCAATGCAACTTGATTATTGATTATCTCATAATATTGTCATCAATCTTGCCTCTTCAAATCAAAGTTCTTTGAGTAATTGTTTCAACCAAAGACCCTTCAAATTGAAGTTCTTTGAGTCACTGTTTCAATCAAATTAGTTCACATCTTACTAATACCTGACTCTTCATTGTACCTTAGTGTTGGATCTTGCAAGTATTTTATTTCTTACTCATCTAAGATATCAAAAGGTCATTAGTCTCACATCCAACATTAAACTTCCATAAATGAGCATCAGAGAAATCAATTACCTCGGTATGTTCTCTATCTTCATAAATGAAACCTTTTCCAGAAGTGCCTTTGATATATTTCAGATTACAACATCCGAGTGTTCTTGGTAAAGAGAATTTAAGAACCGTATACGACACTACCTCTGGAGGAAATATTTGGGTGAGTGACTGTGAGATGGTTCAATTTTTCTACCATATATTAAGAGTCTCGCATCAGACAATATATGACTTGTGGGTGAGTATTGCCTGAACAAACTATATATATGTTAAGAGTCTCGCATCAGACAATATATGGCTTGTGGGTGAGGATTGCCTGAACAAACCATATATTATCCGATGTGGAATTCTTAATATGTATTTTATAATGGCATTCTAAAACTATATAACCCTTCTCTTCTTCAGCTACTTTTTCTCCCTAACAACGTTACAGAACAAAATTGAAACAAAATAGTTCCAACTCGGGACACTTCACCAATCTTCCTTATTCTACTTGTAACTATTTTGAATTTCGTTAATGCTGTGTTTGGATAATTAATTTATCCATCTTCTCAAAATTAAATTTTTTTTTTCAATGTAGTATCGTAGGATCTTAATCAGAAGCTCCTAGAATCTTTAAATCACTGCTAAGTTTACGATCAAACAAACATGTCTTCATGGGCTGAGTTTTTGACCCAGTAGCAAATACTATTTTTAGTGATTTAAATAGAAACCCTAACCCTAAACCTAATAGCTTGTTTAAGCAAACACGAGTTCAAAATCATAGTATTTCTCAACCTTTCTTACACTCTTCCTCCCACATGTCAACTTACACTGTCTTCCAGCTTTTATTTATAATTTGAGTAACTTAATAGTGTAAGGTTTGATAGTCAAACAGTAAATGTGCTTAAAAAGGAAATTAGCGCATAATTTCCACTTGATTGATATGGTCTTTAATGACTACACACATCTATTTGCAGTGCCACGGGCATTACTTACAGAGAGTGGGCGCCTGGAGCTAAGGTATACTTCATTTCAATTATTGTTATTAACCCTGGTTCTAGTTTTTGGGTTCAAATTGTTTTGTAGAATTTTAAAAGCATGAATACAACACAACATATGGCGATATACTAGATTTAAAATTATAGGCGTGATAGTATAACATGTTAATACCTAAAGATAGCATAAAAATAACGTAAAGACAAATCCCAAATCAAAAGAGAGAATGAATGTGTCATTAAAGACATAATAGATTCCTATAATTTATTATCTAATTATCGTGGTATTCCCTTTTATTAATAGAAGGGGTGACTGGACATTGCAGTTAATACCATATCACTAGTTAATGCCATATCACTGGAAGGTTATAGGTTTGAGTTATGAAATCAACCTCCTGCAAATGCAAGGTATGGCATCTAAAATAGATTTGCAACAGATCTGACCATGCCTTGGACCCCAACTGCTATGGTGGGAGCTGTATAATACCTGTTTGCCCTATTCTCATTTTACCATTTGTGTAGGTTATTGGTGTATGAGTTCAAAAAATTGAAGTGCAAAGAAATTAAATGCATTTAGGAGTATTTGAAGTGCTTATTAGGTGTCCAACATGGAATGATGACTATTTTGAAGTATCTATGCTTTCTTAGCAAAGTCACTAATATTTTTTATTTAGATATAAATTCTGTGTCAATCAATGTGTGTTATAATGTGTATCAATGTTTACATATACCTAATAGTTATTTAGGAATTAATGGAGTTCTCTTAGTAGTTAGTAGCTTGAAGGAAATATGCTCCATCAATCTTTGTTTTGTTTACATGGTCAAATTCATACTTTTTTTTTTTATTTACAACTGCACTCAGAGACTAAAGTTATAAGTCAGTTTATTTGGGTAGAAAACAAAAAGGCGTTCTATTGGAAAGATAGAATTCAGGATATTGTATTATTTTAAGCAGTTGTCTTTACCTCTTCCTTTTGCAATTCTATCATTAATATATTTTCTAACAAAGCTTGGAGATAATATTGTTTTGAATATCGTGTATGTAAGTTGTCTTTAAACTTCAAAACAATTCATTTAATCAATCACAGTATAACTGAATTTATTTCCCTGCAACCATTATGGATATTATTGATTGCTACTTCAGTCAGCAGCATTAGTTGGAGATTTCAACAATTGGAATCCAAATGCAGATGTAATGACTAAGGTATGTAATTCTTAATTTCTCTTTGAAGTTTGAGTGCGTTCATTAAAAAGTCCTTTGCTTTCATCTTCCTCATATTTTTAGCCATCTATTTGATTGTACCTAGAATCTCACCTCCTCTCCCCCCTTATTATGTTCCTACTCATTCTTTGTGTAAAATTGAATTGGATAAATGTACTTCATTTATTGTGACCTAGAATATGTATTTGTTTGAGATCTACGATTCACGTAGGACAGTAACAATAAGACCATTTTGATGTCTATTTTAAAACTTGTTTAATGTAAATGTGATTGTTTCAACCCAATCCAAATTCTAAGAGAATTCTTATCGATGGACAGATGTGATTGTGATAAATCTGACATACGCCTAGTCCTGGATATTGGACATCCTAAGATTTAATTGACAAATGCATTGATTTTGAAATTTTAAAATGTTCTTGTTACGTCAAACAGGACGCTTTTGGTGTATGGGAGATCTTCTTGCCAAACAATGCCGATGGTTCACCACCAATTCCTCATGGTTCTCGAGTCAAGGTAATTTTTCTCCTGAAAATAATTTATTTTGAGGAGTTTGAAGATCTACACGTATGTCCATATGGTCATTGGACATTGGTTATAGCAGTGTTGTCGATTTTGGATTGCAGAAAACAACAGTTTGTTCAAATTCCACCAGTTTACTACACTAAGTTATAATCTCTCTTATTATTTCCCTTATGGTTGGTATTTTGAGTATGTTTTTGATAATGAATTGTATTACAGTACGAATTATGAAGATTTTTCCAAATATGTGACCTGGTTCCACATAACTTTTCTTTTATATTTTACTTTTATTAAGAATTACTTTGAGAAAGAACATGAAATTCCTTGCATTTATCAGGAAGAATGATGTTATAACACAAACAAGAAAAGGAATGGATATATTATTCAATGGGTAGATAAAGATTGTCTTCTGAAACCATCAATCTCTATATTCCGTAATTCTTTGTAATTTCTTCCTTATTTAGATTTTTTAGGGATGAATTGAAAATATATCATCTTTTTTGGAATTGTGCATAGGAAGCTCAGCACCCTCTGGAGGGGAGCCCAATCATACAAGTTCATTAAAAATGATGTTTTTCAAATTTTCTGGAAACAAACACAATTATTAAAATATTATGTAAATTAGTAAATACAACTTAAATCATAAGAGAGATCTATATTTTAAAACTCTGCATGGGCATTTTAGTGTATAAATGACAAAATGGTATCATTTATGCAATTGTTATGGTATTCTCATTTGTATTGGTATAAGAATTCACCAAACAAAATGCTCTAGAATGCAAATAGGAGTGTTCAAAACAGAAACTTTTATAGGAATAGGGTAGTTATTTTGACATGACCATTCTTTCTTGCAAGCCACAGTAGTATTGAAGAAAAAATTGGCAAGCTAGGGTAGTTAATCTATCATTCTCGTCATCTTTGGTTTTTAAGTGTAAAACGTTTCTTTTATTACTAGGACATATCTTATCCTTGCCTGATGTAGATTGTAAATTTCTTTCTCTTAAGTTATTATATGTTTTTTATCCTACAAAAGCAAATAAGGACATCGATTTTTCCACGACCAAGTGTGTTAAACTTCTTTGGATGCCTTGAACTAAGCCTATGAATATATTTCTGAAATGTAAACTAAATACTTCGTAACTATAAATATATATATTTGTAGATCCACATGGATACTCCCTCTGGGATCAAGGACTCAATTCCAGCTTGGATCAAATTCTCTGTACAGGCTCCTGGTGAAATTCCATATAATGGAATATACTATGATCCCCCAGAGGAGGTAAGATTCTACATTTCTTCCATGCAGGTTATGCATGGAAAAAATTATTACCAATTTAAATATCTCTTTCCTCGTTACATGTCATGGGATAGAATTGTTATTACAACATTTCTCTCGTTATCTATTTATGGTAGTTTCAAGGGAACTTTTATATAAATGGCATACAATGTGGTTGGTTGCTCTATAGTATTTTCAGAAGTCATACACTCTGACCTTTATTCCATTAAATTTTTATATTGCAAAGATTCGTTATCGTCCCCTTCAAAGAAAATATGTATATAATCTCTCCTTGTTCCTTAATTATGATTGAAGACTAAAAAAAACTAGACAAAGCTGCAACATTTTGATAACCACGTTTTGCAACTGCCAGATTGCAGAACACCATGGAAGTAGTTTTGTTAAAATATCTGTATATTAAATTTATGTAATTATTTATTGGTACAGTGTACCAACTATCTTGACAACTACTGAGAACAGACCTTAGGTGCTATTCAATTACAATATATATTATAACATGTGTTAATTACTTAATTGTTGACTTCTACATATCATTTGATTTTTCTGTCATGCACTATTATTGTGGTTTATATTTTTCTCTTGTTACAGGAAAAATATGTCTTCAAACATCCACAGCCAAAACGACCACGGTCAATTAGAATATATGAGTCACACATTGGAATGAGTAGCCCGGTGCGTACTTTTTTGCTTTCTCTAATTTGATGTCAATAAGTGATTATTTTCTTTTCCCTTTCTTGGTTGCCTTATTGGGAAGTCAATAATCTATTACATCAGAAACGATGGTTATTGTTTATTATCAATGGCAAAATGTCAAAGACTAAACTTTTTTTTTGCCAACCCAAGCAACTTCATGGTTCATGGAAGCACTATGCCCTTAGCTGACCGTAGGTAAAGCCCCATTGTTTGACATTCGACATACTCTCTCACCTTTTGGGACATGTTCATCTGTCTCGGAAGCTTCGCCCAGAATCATTACTATCAAATTTATTGATGGGAAGCACTGCCCAGAAAGAAATATCATACTTGAAACATCTCCCCTCATCCCTTTCACTTTCTTAGAAGTGACAATATTAAACTTGCAAGAAAGCAACATAATTATTTCTTTACAGAAAGTTTTATTCCCGATTGCCTACAAATGGAATTGAATTGACTTGCACTACTAAGTAGATAGACACCACTCAGAACTAAGTTTTATATCCTTGGGCAAATGTGACTTAGCTGACCTAATGACATTCAGAGGATTCCATTCTTATTTGGTTATTCTCAAAACAAAAGTTACTCTATTTAGAAATGCCAAGCTGCAAATAGTTACTTGTTTTGAAATTGCATCGTTTATCTTTATTATGAAGTGAAATCATCTTGCGGTTTACAAAAGTAAGGCTAGTTAAACTGATTCCTCACTCTTCCAATACATGCTAAGTGAAAGGCGTTAGTTGTTTGTTACATGCAAACAAGGCTTTAGATTTTTCTTTAAAAAATTATTTATTGAATTATTTCCTTGCAATGAAGACATTGCTCTCATTAATACAATCAGTGTCTTTCAGATTTAAATACAGAATATTTTGCGTAATAACAGAGTTAGTCTATAAAGTTCAATGAAATGTCTATTCAGAGCTAGTATTTTTTCTGTTACTAATAATGCTTTGAACCATGTGGTGCAGGAGCCAAAAATCAACACATATGCTAATTTTAGAGATGATGTACTACCTCGCATTAAAAAGCTTGGCTATAATGCTGTCCAGATTATGGCTATCCAAGAACATTCTTATTATGCTAGTTTTGGGTAGTTCTTCTAGAATGCCTATCCAGTGTTATCATTAATCATAAAAGTTTCCCCCTTCCAAATTGCCGATAGTTCCAATGTTATTTAAAGAATAACTGGCCATTTATGTTCTAAATTTCTTGTTTGTTAGAGCATTAGTGTCTCCCCCCTAAAGTTGATGGCCTGACTTTAAAAAGATTGTTCTGCATGACACAGGTACCATGTTACTAATTTCTTTGCACCTAGCAGTAGGTTTGGAACTCCAGAAGATCTTAAGTCTCTGATAGACAGAGCCCATGAACTAGGTCTGCTTGTTCTGATGGATATTGTACATAGGTAATGTTTATACCTTACACGCTAAATATTCTTTTCATTTTTCTGGAAATATCTTGATAAGCTTCTAAAAACTTGAAGAACCCTCCTGTAAAAGCTAGCTATCAAGGGGGATGACCAAGCAGCTAAACATCTCCTACTACTCGATGTGGGACTTAGGCAACCAAAAACATCGAAGTCCCTATCATCAGCACCAGCCCTGAGAGTCTACCTCCTGGCAGAAGTACTCTACAATACTTTACTCAACTTTCTTGTCAGTCCCTCTGTAGGTAGCCCTTTCCAAGCCACTGACAATAATCTCTGACACCAATTAATAGAAACTAGTCTAAAATCAATATAGTTACTGAATAAGCTTTATTTAACCATTCTCTGGGAATGCTCTTCCAACAAAGTAGTTTCATGGAAATAGAAAATACAAAATTAGAGTAGAAAGTATAAGGGTAACCACAAGGAACTACCCCAGGAGTTAGAGAGCCTAGTCTCTCCTAACCAACCAAGATACAGAAAACCAAATGTTTCCCACTTCCCCTTCATCCCTAATTTGTAATTTTACTTGATTAACAAGTTCTACCCCAGGCCCATTTAAATTTGAAGGATTCCTCCTAGAGTTAGTCTTCACAATTGGAGCCGTATTAGTAAAATATCTCTCGTTCTTATTTTTCAACTGAATCATCAGCCATCAGCGCATAAATGATAGTACATGCAAGATCTTATTGGTGTTATTTAATCTGCTGTTTAGACCTGATTACCAGTATCTGATTAATGTAGCCATGCCTCAAATAATACATTGGATGGCCTGAACATGTTTGATGGAACTGATGGTCATTACTTCCATCCTGGTACGCGGGGTTATCATTGGATGTGGGATTCTCGCCTTTTTAACTATGGAAGCTGGGAAGTAAGTGTTATTCCCAGAGTTCATTGACATTGTTCTGAATATATTTTTCAATCATGATTCTTCTATACCCTTCTGGTTGACAGTGACTTATTTTCTTAATTAGGTACTAAGGTATCTACTTTCAAATGCAAGATGGTGGCTGGACGAATATAAGTTTGATGGGTTTCGATTTGACGGTGTCACATCAATGATGTACACTCATCATGGACTGCAGGTACATTTTGGTTGGATTCTTGGTTTCTTGTGTCTAGTCTTTAAGTTTATGGTATTCTAAGATAACCTGGCTGCATACGCACTTGGTCATTGTGGATTGTAGTATTTCCAAGTGAAGAAGAAAAAGGGTTAAAATTTTAAATACCATTTTGTGTTATTATCAACTTAGAGTATCTAATAATAATGCACTTCTATCTTGACCAAAGAAGGCTTTAACTATGTAACTGACTCTGCTGAGTCAGCAGCAGCTCCTAAGCTAGATATAAATACCTTCTCTCTAGATTCTCAAAGCAAGAATTTAGCTGCAACAGATTTCAATTCAATATGAAGAAATATTTTCCCTCAGTTTCTCTTTAGATTCATACTATGCTTTCGATTTCTATAACAGTATCAGAACATTGCAGAGATGGTAACCTTATTGCTTTATAGTCCTGTTTGTTTTCTTACGCTCATTTGTTGTAGATCTGTCCTCCTCCTCCTCTTGCACTTTCCTCTCTAAATTTTGTCCTTCAGACAATTATTTTTTTCTGAATGATAATTTTACAGCTTGATCAGTCTACATAAATGCACCAATGCATGATAACCATGAACATAACCGGCTTAATAATTGAAAATTTGTGCAATGGTGAAGTAGACAATTTAGGTTCTCCCTTACCAGCTTCCACTCCACCCTTCACATTAACGTGGATCTAAGTAGCCTACAGTTTTTTTGGTAAATAAAAATATGTGAATAGGATAACCAGGGGTTCTCCATCCCATAGACAAATCTCATAAACAAACCTTGGATATATAGTATATGATACATTGTAAAGGACAAAAGCAATTAGCACCAATAAAGAAAACTGAACTTCTGTCTTCTATAGATTTTAAAAAATTGATTTTGCTTTGTAAATAATTTCCATAATTTTTATGATAACATATAATCTAAATCCAGTTTACTGTAGAAAATCATCTAGGCCCCTAATTTACAACAATGCTAATTCTGATACAGATAGATACCTCAACACAGATAATGAGATAGGAAAGGTCTAAAAGAAGTAGATAAAGAAAAAGAAGGAAAGGAAACAATGTCAAAAGATATTATAGTTGTGATTATCCTTTGAAGAAAAGGGTTCTCATTTCAATCAAATATAGGATTCTTTCCATTCTCAATCGTTTATTTTTTTCCCTTAAAAGGATTATTGAATCTTGCTGCAGGTATCTTTTACTGGAAATTACAGTGAGTATTTTGGTTTAGCAACTGATGTTGAGGCTGTGGTTTACATGATGCTTGTCAATGATCTCATTCATGGGCTCTTCCCTGAAGCTGTTTCAATTGGTGAAGATGTATGCCCTCCTCTCAATTTTTATGCTAATTCAGTTATATTTCATTTAAGTTGTGTTAAGAGTCCCACGTCGGATAATATATTGCTTGAATATGTCCGTATAAGTGGGGGCAATCCTCACCCTACAAGCGGTTTTGTAGGGTTGAGTTAGGCTCAATTACAAACTTTAACATGGTATCAAGAGTTGCGTTAAAGATCTGGCGGGCCACCTGCTATCAGGTTTCTGCTATCGGGCCATCCGAGTTAGGCCCAACCACAAACGTAACAAGTTGTATTAGGAGTTGAGTAACTGTGATCTCATAAATTTTGTTGTCTCTCCATGCTTAAATTTCTAGAGGGCTCAGTAACTGCTGTAAAGCACAAAAGATAATATGGTGTTTGAACACTATCAAATTAAGTCAATTAAAACTGACAGTCAATGTTACAAATTTCTTTCCATTTCCAGGTGAGTGGAATGCCAACATTCTGCCTTCCGACGCAAGATGGTGGGATTGGCTTTAACTACCGCTTGCATATGGCTGTTGCAGACAAGTGGATTGAGCTTCTTAAGTAATCTTTTATTCTTATTCTGGGGTGCAAATACAGTATATTATGCTCTCTTTCAAATAATCCTGTTTGTGGATGGCGTAGATTACAAAAATATAACACATTTGTATAGATGTGTGGTAAGACTAGACATGATATAATTAGAAATGACAACATTAGAGAGGCTGTTGGGTACTTGGGTTAACACCTATAGTAGAAAAGATGATGGAAAATAGAAACACATTAAATTTTTCTATTAGGATTTATCTAGTTTTTATTTTTATTTTTTAATGTAATCATGATTTACTAGAATTATGTTTTTTTTGTTAGACTTAAAGTTGTTTTATGGTTTTTTATCATCATCTTTGGGTTATAAATATTAAATTTGCTTTTGGTGTCTTATGATATTCAACCTTTTTGCATAATCTGTTGCATTGAAAATATTAGAAAACTAAATCAGTAAAGTACTCCTCCCTATTAATCTGCATAAAATTTAGAATATATTAGATAAATCATAAATAGATCTAAAGTGCTAATGTCTTTCTAATCTGCATTAATGAGCCCAAAAGAAGTATGTATGTTCATTAGTATATGCCAATCAGATACGGCACCAAAATTTAAGGTGGCTTCCAAATGTAACTTAAATTCTGTTTGAATATAGTGCATGTAAGTATTCCTTCAATGTACAGAGCCCAGTAGGTTGTTACCTAATTCTTTGAATTTTGAGAGATACAACATCTTCTGTAATTCAACGTTGCAATTGTCAAAAATTGTCAATTAAAGCCTACATCTAATCGTGTCTTGCTGTAATTTCTCCAACATAAACCATTGTCATTCATTCTTGTGGTTTGCTAGCAGTGTAAAAAAATCATGTTAAATTTCAGCCATATGTTTTTCATGTAGGAAACAAGATGAAGATTGGAGAATGGGTGATATAGTCCACACACTGACAAACAGAAGGTGGCTGGAAAAATGTGTGGTTTATGCTGAAAGTCATGACCAGGCTTTGGTTGGCGATAAGACACTAGCATTTTGGTTGATGGACAAGGTGCGTAGCTCTTGTATACTCCCTTCGTTTTTTGTTATAAGTCGCTTTGAGAAAAAAATTGTACCAAATTATAAGTCTTATAATACCAATGAATCATTTATGTTATTTTTCCTTTTATATCCTTAAGAATTTATTATTCTCTCTCTTTTCAATTCTTTGAATTTATCTTTTCTATATAATTAGTTGTCGAAGTTGATATTTGTGTTGTTGGTGTTTGTTTGAAGTCCCACATTGCTTAGATTCCCGAATTGTTGATTGTATAAATATGTGAGAGCAACTTCACCTCTTGAACTAGTTTTTGGGATTGAGATCCAAGCATATTTAACATGGTATCGCTAGGCGTGAGGGTGGATGTTGAAGTTGATATTTGTGTTGTTGGTGTTTGTTTGAAGTCCCATATTGCATAGATTCCCGGGCTATTGATTGTATAAATATGTGAGAACAACTTCATCCCTTGAGCTAGCTTTTAGGGTTGAGATTCAAGCATATTTAACATGTTAAGAGTTTCACATCGGACAATATATGGCCTGAACATGTGCTTATAAATGGGGACAATTCTCATCCTACAAGTCGGTTTTGTAGGGATGAGTTAGGCCAAACCACATTTCTTAGCTTGGTATCAGAGCCTCGTTTAAGATACGATAGGCCACTTACTATGATTTTCGCTATCGGATCACCCGCCATTTATTTCTACGCTTCAGTTGTCTAGTCATGAGCGTGGGGTTGTGTTAAGAGTCTCACATCAGGCAATATATGACCTGAGCATGTGTTTATAAATTGGGACAATCCTCACTCTACAAGCCGGTTTTGTAGGGATGAGTTAGACCCAACCACATTTGTTAACATTAATAAAGGATAGTTTTGTAAAATTCTTTATAATCTCTCGTTTCCATGCAACAATGATTACATTTCTTAACACGGAAAATCAACTTATATTATAAAACGAAGGGAGTATAGTGTTTCTCTATTGTGCTAGAAGAACTTAATTTGGATCAAAGCTATCACTCTCTTTTTTCTAAAGAGTTTGGGAGTTGAGTTTCTCCATTTGAAACCTGCTACAGTAAAGTTATTTTTAATAGCTTATACATCAAATTTTCTTGACTAATATATATGTTCGTGGAAACTTCTCGATGAGTGTTATTGCAACTTAGGAATCTGTTGGAAGTTATTAGAGAGATAAGTACAAAATCAATAGATTCTGTGCTATACACAATATTAATTGTAAGTAATAATTAGTAATTAGCTATTAATAATTAGTAATTAGCTATTAATAATTAGTAATTAGCTATTAATAATTAGTAATTAGTTGTCTTCTACTATATTTAGAATTAGCATTGAAAGTGATTTGTCCATTGTATTACGTATTACTTACTACAATATCAAAGAAATACAAATTGTTTGTTTCTTTATGGTAAGCACCCGATTCTAGGGGCTCTGCTTCCGCGCTCAAAACACTAGTCGTTCTTATTACGACCCTTTTTTCTTGGTCAAGGTTCCCTTTCTCTTGGAATCCTAGTGATCTCAGTGACTTTGCAGCCGCCGTGTACCGCTCAACTGTCGTTGCAGATCCGGACGATTTCACCTTCATTGTTGTTTTCAGGACATCCTTCATTGCTGTACCTTTGTTTCTTGCTGTTTGCAACCCTTGATTGTTTGGTTGTCATCTTTGTTGGAGTTTCTCATTGACAGTCCTTCAATCCTCTCCTAACAATATATCTCGACTCTCCAGGCTCGAGACGGTTTGTTTCTCTTTATGGACTCCTTAAGTAAGTTCTCTAACACTAGTTCTCTGACGATGACTGGTAAGAACTCTAGCTTCTTAATTTTTAATGCCTCTTGTTCTAAAGATATATGGATTATTGACTCCGGTGCAACTGATCACATGACCCCATATATGTCATATCTTTCTTATTCACCTTTATCTAATAAACGCCATATTACCGTTGCAAATGGGTCCCAAACCCCGATTGTCGGATCTGGTAACATCCACCTAAGCCCATCTCTCCACCTAAATCATGTGCTTCATGTCCCTAAGCTTTCTAACAATCTTTTGTCCATCCATAAACTCACTAAAGACTTGAATTGTGTTGTAACCTTTTTTCATTCTCATTGTGTTTTTCAGGACCTTGCCACAGGGAAGACGATTGGAATTGCTGAGGAACAGAACAGGTTATATTATCTTCCTCATAAGGAAAGCAAGTGTCATCAGGCTGGTTCAGAGTCATGGGCAAATACTCAAATATGGCTCTAACACAGGCGTCTTGGACATCCTCCTTTCTGCATGCTCAGGTCTCTATTCCCTCACCTATTTACCAAAGTGTCTGTTGATTCCTTTCATTGTGATGTGTGCCAGTTTGCCAAATCCCACCGAGCAACCTATTCTCCTAGTGATACTAGGAGTGTCAAATCCTTTGATCTTGTTCATTCTGATGTACGGGGGCCTTCATCCATTTCCAATATTTCTGGTGCAAAATGGTATGCTACTTTTATTGATGACTGTACTCGGGTTACATGGATTTTTCTTATGAAAGATAAGTCTCAAGTGTGTTAATTATTTGTTCTTTTTTCAAATGGTTAAATCACAGTTTGGGAAAGCTATTAAAAGGTTACGGTCAGACAATGGTAAGGAGTATGTAAACCAAAATTTTCACAATTTTCTCAAAACTAATGGTGTTGTTCTTGAGTTGATTTGTGTTGACACTCCACAACAAAATGGGGTTGCTGAAAGGAAAAACCGTCATCTTCTTGAAATCACCCGAGCATTACGCTTTCAAATGAATGTTCCTAAATTTTATTGGGGGGAAGCTGTCTCGACCTCTGCTTATTTAATCAATAGGTTACCTTCTAGGGTGTTATCTGGTGTTAGTCCTGTGCAGGTCCTGACTCGATTCTTTCCGTCCGTGCCCATTATGTCAAGTCTTCAGAATCGTGTCTTTGGTTGTTCTGCCTTTGTCCATGTTCATGGTCCTCATCGGGGTAAGTTAGATCCTCAGGCTATTTTAAATGTATCTTCATAGGATATGGTTCAAATAAGGGGTACAAGTGTTATCATCCTCATAGTCGTTGTGTCTATATATCCATGGATGTTACTTTTCAGAAATCTGAGTCTTTTTATCCCAGTCCTCAGCTTCAGAGGGAGAATAACCAAGAAGCTGAGTCTTCAGAGTTGTCTGTCCTTCCTGTTATTCCTCTAATACCTGACCCAGAGCTGTCTCCTGAGTTGCATGTTATTCCTCTAATACAGGACCCAGAGTCGTCTCCTCAGTTGTCTGTTCTTCCTGTTATTCCTGTAATACAAGAAGCCTTGATGCCTAATGAGGATGGTGATGTACCAATACCGGTGCATAATAATGTTGACAAATACAAGTTATAGTTCCAGCGAAAAAGGTGGAAAGGTAAACCCGTTTTGCCCCAACAAGTCCAATCGTCTGAACCTGAGATAAGTACTCCTAACCCTGAGCCTAGTAATTCTTGTGAGCCAAACCTTGATGACCTACCTATTGCTTTGAGAAAAGAAAAAGGTCTTGTACCAAATACCCTATATCCCAGTTTGTGTCTATTGAAAAGCCTTATGTGCAGCATCAGAGTTTTATTTCAGCTATTGACTCTATTAGAGTCCCTACATCAGTACAAGAAGCATTAAAGGATAATAATTGGATTCAAGTCGTGAATGAAGAGATGCATGCACTAGAGAAAAATGAGACTTAGGAGATTATTGAGAAGCCAAATGACAAGAGGCCAGTAGGCTGCAGGTAGATATATACGGTAGAATACCGATCCGACGGTACACTCAACAGATATAAGGCGAGGCTAGTTGCAAAGGGATACACCCAGACCTATGGAATTGATTATGAAGAAACATTTGCTCCAGTAGCAAAAATGAACACCGTAAGAATCATTCTTTCTTTGGCAACTCACTTTGATTGGGAGTTGCAACAGTTTGATGTGAAAAATGCTTTCTTGCATGGAGATTTGGAGGAAGAGGTGTATATGGAGATCCCACCCGGATACGACCCTACTTCAGGAAGTAATAAGGTTTGCAGGTTAAAGAAGGCCATATATGGGCTCAAGCAATCACCCCCGGACTTGGTTTGGGAGGCTCACTCATGTTATGGTGTCCTTGGGTTATAAACAAAGCCAAGGTGATCATACTCTCTTTATAAAGCATGCTTAAAATGGTAAACTCACTCTTTTGTTAGTCTACGTAGACGATATGATCATAGCAGGTAATGATGAATTTGAGAAGAAGAACTTGAGGAAGAAGTTGGCAGCTCAGTTTGAAATGAAGGATCTTGGAAAGTTGAAATATTTCCTAGGTATGGAGGTAGCATACTCAAAACAAGGCATTTTCATTTCTCAGAGAAAATATGACCTTGACCTTCTCAAAGAGACTGGCAAGTTGGGTTGTAAACCCTCCAGAGTGCCTATATAGTGCCTCCAGAGGAAAGCCCCAAGGTTGATAAAGCTCAATACCAGAGACTTGTGGGAAAGCTCATTTATCTATCTTACACTATACCTGCCATAGCTTATCCGGTTAGTGTTGTCAGTCAATTCATGCACGACCCACAGAAGAGCCCAGGAAGAGGACTACTGTTCAAGAAAAGTGAGCAGTTGTCTATGGAGGTTTATACTGATGCGGATTATGCAAGGTCGATTGTTGACAGAAGATCCACCACTGGATATTGTATGTTCCTAGGTAGAAATTTAGTGACATGGAGGAGCAAGAAACAAAATGTAGTTGCCAGATCAAGTGCAGAGGCAGAGTTTAGAGCCATGGCTCAAGGAGTTTCTGAAAGGTTGTGGATGAAGATCATTCTAGATGACTTGAAAATAAAGTATGAAGCTCCTATGAGACTTTTCTGTGATAATAAGTCTGCCATTAGTATTGCTCACAATTCGGCCTAACACGACAAAACAAAGCATATAGAGATAGACCGACACTTCATCAAAGAGAAATTGGATAGTGGTCTTATTTCTACACAGTACGTCCCATCAGGACTTCAGTTAGCTGATGTGTTCACCAAAGGACTTCCCTTGGAGCGCTTTCGAGTTCTTACTTGCAAGCTGGGGATGATGGATATCCATTCTCCAGCTTGAGGGGGAGTGTTGGAAACCGACACTTCATCAAAGAGAAATTGAATAGTGGTCTTATTTCTACACAGTATGTCCCATCAGGACTTTAGTTAGCTGATGTGCTCACCAAAGGACTTCCCTTGTAGCAGTTTCGAGATCTTACTTGCAAGCTGGGAATGATGGATATCCATTCTCCAGCTTGAGGGGGAGTGTTGGAAGTTATTAGAGAGATAAGTATACAACTCAGCATAATATTAATTGTAAATAATAATTAGTAGTTAGCTATTAATAATTAGTAATTAGTTGTCTTCTACCATATTTAGAATTAGCATTTAGAATTAGCATTTAAAGTGATTTGTCCCTTGTATTCTATAAATACCTTTCATGTATTACTTACTACAATATCAAAGAAATACAAATTGTTTGTTTCTTTAGAATCCATTGATTCTCTCGCCGTTTCTTGAATTCCTTAAGTTCTTACTTAGCTTCTGTCGAATTATTAAGGATGTTTTCTTTTGCTTAATAAATGGGAATTGCTGTAGTTTGTCATTGAACATTTACATTTTACTTATGCTCTGTTGGCTGCTTCAGGATATGTATGACTTCATGGCTTTAGACAGGCCATCTACTCCTCTAATAGATCGTGGTATAGCATTACACAAAATGATTAGGCTTATTACTATGGGTCTTGGTGGTGAAGGGTATTTGAATTTTATGGGGAATGAATTTGGACATCCTGGTAAAAATATATTTGACTTAATTATTTTTGAGAACTTGGATTTGGTGTTACCAAATCAATAATATCTTAAGTTTGATAATTTACTATTGTTCTGTTCAGAGTGGATCGATTTTCCAAGAGGTGAGCAACATCTTCCTAATGGCAAAATAGTTCCTGGGAATAACAACAGTTATGATAAATGCAGGCGTAGATTTGACTTGGTAAGTTTCTGGTTCCTCCATTCGCAACTTGTATAATTACTACTTTATATTCCGACGTTTGTTGAGATAGACTGCTATTTTGTCAAAGAGATGATCGAATCAAGCAACATAGTCACAAGTTTTGTCAATTTCAACAATCAATTGGCCAACGTTATGACAGTGTCCTTGCGAGGTCCTAGAATTAGTTATATATGTAGCAAGCTTGGTGCACTGATTTATATGCCCCAACTTGAAGGAGAGTCTTGATATTTAAATTAAATATAGGAATAACATATTCGATTGTATTTAATGTTGTAGATTGTATATTGAACCTATATATTGAAACTTCCATGGTGTAGTTGAAACTTCAAACACAGTTTTACCACATGTCTCTCTCATTTTTTCTCGTTCAATAATTATAAAAATCATCTTCTGTGTTGCTAATCAGGGTGATGCAGATTATCTAAGATATCATGGAATGCAAGAATTTGATCGAGCTATGCAACATCTAGAAGAGAGATATGGTGTAAGATTTAAATTTTTGTCATCTACTTTATTTACCAACGAAATACCTATTAAATTTTTTTTTGGTATCTGCTTGTGATTTGATGTTTGTTGCTCATCATTGGATTTTGAGATAACTTGTGGGAAGTTGGTTTTGAACTTGATTTCTTTTATTTCAAGACAACCTCCACCTGCAGTGTTATGCAATTTATCATTAATTTTTTAATTAAGAGTACAAATAGTATCTAACCTAGGATTGCCATCACTAATGGGTGAGCGGTTAATAAATTTTTTGGTTTAATATCTAAGCAGTCGACGGAAATTAACTTTACCTACTTTTGATGCAGTTCATGACTTCTGAACACCAATACATTTCACGTAAAAATGAAGGTGACAGAGTTATAATCTTCGAAAGAGACAACCTGGTTTTTGTCTTCAATTTTCACTGGACCAACAGTTATTCAGATTACAAGGTCGGCTGTTTAAAGCCAGGCAAATATAAGGTAATATCTATCAATTATTAGTCAGGCAAGACTAAAGTTGTAACAAGAAAAGTCCTTTATAAAAATGTCAAAACTAAGATATGTTATTTTATCCCAAGAAACATCCTTTTCATTACATGTCTGGTTAGTCTCCTAACCCAGACCCGACCCGTATCCAGGAAAGTGTCACATTTGGATTAAGTAATTTCAAATTTCCAATTACAAAAGCCTCAATGGACCAATTTTAATCTTCTTTCTTAATTTATCATTATTAAATTCATTTGGTCTAGAGAGCATATTTTCTTTTGATACAAGACTTCTACTACTGATTATACTTTTCTTATATGTTTCAAATATTTAGGAATATGTTTAACCTTGTATTGGTGGATTGTGCTTTTCCTTTTTTTCAGATTGTCTTGGATTCAGATGATACCTTGTTTGGTGGCTTCAATAGGCTCAATCATACTGCTGAGTACTTCACCTCTGTAAGGGACTTCTTTAAACTTGTTTGTGTGTGAAAATAATCATGCGTGTTATTAGTCTTATAAGTTTGTGTTTCTATTTTGCTTTATCTTTTTTCTCCTTACATTCTTGTGGTCATGGTTTTACCATTTTGGCTTCCTCCCAATTAAATTAACAGACTCTTTGGATTCTCTTGGATGATTTTACAGGAAGGGTGGTATGATGACCGGCCTCGATCTTTCCTCGTTTATGCACCTTGTAGAACAGCAGTGGTGTATGCCCTTGTGGATAAAGTTGAATCAGAGCCAATTGAACTGTCGGTTGGAGTTGAACCAGATCCAATTGAGCTGTCACTTGAAGTTGAATCAGAGCCAATTCAACAGTCAGTTGAAGTTGAACCATGATGACAAGTTTCTGGGATGAGTATATCAATTTCATAATGGCGTCAATGCAATCAAGTCAAAACTAGCCAGCCAACTTATGGAGATTAGAGCAGGCTCTGAAACTGCAAGGCTGAACTCAACCAAAATATGTGGAGCCCTTATGTTAACATTAATCTTTAGTGGGGCAGCAAACCAACGTTGAAGTGTTTGTACACGTGGCTTTCTAGGTCAATTATGTATAGCACGTCAAGCTTTTGTTTTTACGTAGGGGTTTAATATGCACAAGTTGCATGGCGTGTGAATGTGAAACAACAAAAGTACGGTCCACAAACCTCAGATCCTCCCTTTCTGTGGACATATAAATCTTATCTACACATAAGTGCACGGACCTTAATTAAACCCTGGAAAATTTTGCGGGAGACCTTATATATGATATCTCCTTTTAGAGTTAAAAGTTGATTCATGCAATAGAGCCTTGCTGATGAAACAATTGTACACGGTGAAAATAATAATTGCCTTAGACTTATAGTATGTTTGGTTTCATGTTTGGAAGAAAAAACGTACGTCTGGAAAGCATTTTTGCCGTGATTTTGTTGAGTTTTAAAGAAGCTAGAAATTCCAGCTTCTAGTGGACGCGCGGAGCAATACTCCACCGTGATTCAAAACGAAAGCTTAGTATAAAATATAAATGGTGGAACCTTTCCATGTGCCATGTGTGAAAAGTAATTGCAATAATAATAATAATAATAATAATAATAATAATAATAATAATAATAATAATAATAATAATAATTTATATATAATCAATGTACTTTCATCTATTTTTTTTTGTTGTAAAAGCAAAACTAACTCATTTAATTAGCAATCAACAATTCAATGCAACTAGGAATAAGATGAAAGGAACTACGCCTAGACCAAGAATTGGCCGGCTTCGCTAACGAATGAGCAATCATATTCATTTATCATTTTTATAATTCAACCTCAAAGTTGGGACGAGAAGACATCAAAGATCTAATTGCTCGAATAATTAAAATAAACTTGGAATTTTCAACATGATTGGAACACTCAACTTGAATCACTAGAAGAAAATCACTTTAAAAAATAACACGATCAAGGTTCAATGCTAAGGTACCCTGAATAGCTTCTTTGAGTGCTAAGGTCTCTGCTTCGATAATCGAAAGATTACTGACATCCCACGCTGTCCTTGCATGCACAAAATTACCCAAATTATCTCGAACACACCAACCTCTATTAAAGTTTCCCAAGTGCTTATTAAAACCAGCATCCACATTGCACTTGACCCAACCCGATGCCAATGGATTACAAAGATAACGAATGTTGATGTCCATTATTATTATTTGGAGGATGTTGTGCAAAAAACCATTCTTGCCAATGATGAAAGACAAGCCACCCCAATTTTGTATGCTCCTCTCTCTCTCTCTCTCTCTCTCTCATTATTCCACACCATATCATTCATATTCTTCCAAATAACATCCATCATGATTGCAACTCTACCAACAACCAAACTGTCTTCGACATCTCTAATTTCGAGGCCATCATCATTGGTTAACTTCTCGATTTTCTTGAACTGTTTCCTTACTGTTGCAGATCTATGAAAAATTTTCGTGTTAAGGTCTATATTTCGAAGCCAGTGCACTTTCGCACGTTGACGCCAATAAGTATCTTCCTGAATGAGAGCCACATTATACTCATGTTGATCGTCCATGAACACTCCAGCCCCAACCTGATCGTGGCATCCCCAAAAACTCTCCAGTATTTCTTTGTTCCTATCCAGCTTCTCTTTATGCATCAACATGTTTCGATTACTCCATGTTCCCATCTCATTCGCACAGTTGAAAAATACGATTCTCCATCTCAACAACTTGTCCACGTCTCCACCCCGTTTGAACCACCTCTTTAATGCCAGTTTCGGTGAGCCAGTTATTCTCGAACCGAAACTTAAACTTTCTATATTCAGTTTGCTTAGACTCACACGCAAGAAGCAACAAACTATGATCTGATTATGACGCAAGAAGATTAAGCAATTTGGCTTGCAGAAATATCTACAACCCCTCTGGAGTCGCTAGTGCTCTGTCTAATATTTCCTCAATGGTATGATATGTCCTTTTACTTTTAACCCATGTGAATTGGTGACCCTCGAGCGAAATGTCGACAAGTCACAGTCACTCACTGCTTGACAAAAACAAGTGCAAAGCCAATTAGGATACAAATGGATACCTTGCTTATCTTGATGTGACAAAAGGTCGTTACAATCCCCTATAATACACCACGGGGTACTCGACATACCATGAATATTACAGATTAAATCCCAAGCTTGCTGTCTTCTGCTTCTCTCCGGGTACTGTTGGCTCTTAAATTCGACACCATTGTTTCATTAATATCAGCTATTAAAGTTGAAGGATGTTTTCGATCAGCTGGGTCTGTCGAAAATGGCCATCGAAGGATGACACTGTACTTAGAAGATTTCTTCCAAGGGAGAAGTTGGTTGCCTTCGACGTCGAAGGCGTTTCTCGTCGAAGATGCCTCTCGACGAAGGTGTTCGATGGTTCAGAGTGGAACGGTTTGAAGTTCAAGCATTTGGAGGGAAAACGGTTTCCAGCGGTTACCAAGTGCAACGTGCAAAGATCTGGAGCGTCGAACGTTGAGAGCGTGCCAAGTGGAATCATCTCGAAGCAGTGTAACTGCCCGACGGTTACTTGGGATGTTTTAGTATAAATAATAGTAGTTCACGCAGTTTCTCGCGTGTGTTCACAATTCTATACAAAGTCACTCATTTAGATTCGAGTACCCAGCGTGTGAGAAAGAATTGTTGAGAAATGTATGTGTGAAACACCACTTTTATTAATCAAAGTCATTTACTTTTCCAGAAACTTTACTTGCTTTCTTCTTTACTTTGCCTGTCGAAGCCCTTTTGTTTTAAGCCTTCCTTTACTTCAAGCCTTCATTTATTTTACCAAGTCTATTCCTTCATGCAATTTACTTAAAGCTCCTCTATTTTTTTGTCATTTAACCATTATCCAATTTAATCAAAACCTCAAAATCAACCTATGTCCTAGGATCAATCTGATCGATCCTGCGAGTAACCAAATAAGTAACCATTTGGAGGATCAGCGGTTGTTTACCAATAACCACGGTAAACAAATTGGCACGCCCAGTGGGACTGTGTGTTGATTTTTTTTAAAACATAATCTCATCTTTTTCGAGGAGTGTTGCATGTTATTGAGAAGTGGTAGAATATACACTAACGATACCAATACTGCCAGAAGAAGAGAAGAGATGGCGAATCCGCCAAACAATAACGAAATCCCACAAACAAATGTGGGAGCAACGGCGATTCCGACCGTAAGTGAAGCGATAACCGCTGGTTCAACACCAGCAGTAACGGTCACAACAACGGGGCCATTACCTCCGTTTACAGGCCCCAGAGTGCCTTTGGGAACTCCCCCACCAAGGGGAAATTTAGGCACAAGGCCTTTTGTTCCCCCAGGATTCATGACAGGCGGTCATAATCGAGAACCACTCTATGGCATGCCAACTTCTGACTTGGCTAGCCTGACGAATGCTGCGTCCACTTTTTCAGACCCTTTAGTGAGTGCCTCTTCGCCACTCCAAGGTTCTGGAGTAGGTATGGCGAATAGAAATAGGACACAACTCTTAGGAGGAACGTCCCAAATAGCCCATGGCCTTACAAATGCCTCGACAGCAGTCTTGAGGCAACAAATGGACGAAAGCAACCATGATATGGTGCAAATGTTGGCACAAACTTTAAGTACAGTGTTGAACCCTCTAATACAAAACACTACTCAATCGAATCAGCAGATGACAGCGCAAATGACGCGTTTGGCTGATTTCTTTGGAGTACCCCAACCTATTCGACAGCCCCAAAGGGCGCAAATAAGGGGAAACCAGGGTGTATTCTTAGAGGAAGAAACCACTATCAACCAGGTCCAACAGCCTGTCGAAGAAAACCTTAGGGCACGATTGGAGCAACCTGTCGAGGAACCCAGGGTAATAACCCCAGAGGTAAGGTTAGTTAACAGAAACCAAAATGCTGACGAAGTAGTTCAGCATATCCAATACCAAAATATGGGTTTGGAAAATAATCTGGCAACCATGATCGAAAGGATCATGACCCAAAATGGGATGAACATGGGCTTCCGAAGGCCCAACTTCACATCCCCGTTGTCAGAATACGTGTTACAAACAGACTTACCTCCTAGATGTAAAGTCCCCAAATTCACTAAGTTCTCTGGGGACACGACAGAATCTACTGTCGAACATGTGGCGAGATACTTGATCGAAGCAGGGGATATTTCGAATAACGAGAACCTGAGGATTAAGTACTTCCCAAGTTCTTTAACAAAGAACGCTTTTACTTGGTTTACAACTCTCCCCCCCAATTCGATCCATCATTGGACCCAGTTGGAAAGATTGTTCCACGAGCAATTCTACATGGGTCAAACCAAGATAAGCCTGAAAGAATTGGCCAGTGTAAAGAGACGTTTCACTGAACCTATAGACGAATATCTAAATAGGTTTAGGTTGCTCAAAGCGAGATGTTTTACACAAGTGCCGGAACATGAGTTAGTCGAAATAGCCGCAGGCGGTTTAGATTATTCCATTAGGAAGAAGTTAGACACTCAATACCTGAGAGACATGGCCCAACTGGCCGATAGAGTTCGACAGGTAGAACGCCTCAAAGCTGAAAAAGCAAAGGCAACGAAAGCTCATAAGAGAGAGAGGATAGCGTATGTTGAGATGGATGACGAAGATCTAGAATCCTTCGACGATACTATAACTGTCGAAGAAGGAGAAGTCGATTTAGCGGAACTAAAATAAGGGCCACCATACTCTTGCAAACTGTTAGTTCCCTCAAGTGGGAAAAATCCCGTTGGTCCAGAAAGGACCAACGATAGGTTCCCCAAAAAGTCTTATAGTTTTGACATCACAAAATGTGATGAGATCTTTGACTTGCTTGTAAAAGATGGCCAGATGATAGT